ACCTAGAAAACTTTTTAGAGAAAAACTATTTAAAACTGTCAGATCCTGACCAGCACCCACCCAGCCCCCTTCCAGTGATTCCGTGCCTTGAGTGTGTCTGCGTGTTTACACCCTTCCCTCTGCTGGCTACCCCCCCTTCCCTGTGTGGGCAGCACTCCTGCCCTACCCTCCACAGAATTGGGTTCCAAGGGCTGTTCCAGACAACTGCCAACATCACCGAGGGCCCGTCCCAGTGGCCCTGGGCCCTGGCCCCATTAACCTAAATGTAGCTCTTTAGCACGCTAACCTAGGAACCGCTGCTGCCTGCTGAGGGCCATGGCCCTCATGCCCTTGCCCCAGGCCCGGGTCCTTCAGCGTTGAACACTTCCTTGCTTTTTTCACATGTTTTATGGAATTGTTCACCTGGTTTGAAATAATAAAATGTAGAAAGAAAAAATGCCAAGTACTGCTCGGTCCTCTTCTGTCCCTGGGCTAGAGACCCAGACAAAGCTGTGCCAAGGGGATAGTGACCCAAAACAGAATCCTCATTTGTGGTAGGGCCCTGGCTGCTCCGTCCTCCTCAGGCCCAGTATGCGGCCCCTCAGTTTTCCCACTTGGTAGTCATTTTATGTCCTGGGGCCTGTACATGCCCCTTCTCCTCCCAGCGCCTGTGTGGCCCTGGGTCAGTGGCACTTGCCAGGCCTCACTGCAGCAGCAGGACAGATATCTTCCAGAGCGGTTCCTCCGAGGGTTTCTCTCCTGGGAGCATCAGGTGTCCAGTGAGGGGTGCAGGAGGAGACTGTGACTCCTGACCTCCCAGGCCCAAGGCTGTGCTGAATCCCTTGTATCCCCTCCCTTCTAATCGGTGGTGTTCTCTGCTCAGGGCTGGGCTTCTCAGGATTGACAAAAGTTGGGGACAGAGGGGCCTGAGACACGTTCAGCAGCGTCTCTGCCCCGGCCCAAACCCTGGGGGGCAGGGAGGGACAGGCAGGTGGCTACACATCAGTGTGTCTGTAGGCATAAGCCAAGTGGCCCCGGAGGGCAGCAGACTTGGTGCATTGGGACAAGGGCCCTAGAAATGTGGAAGCTAACATGAAGCTATGGGAAGTGCACGCATGTCACTGGAGAAGACAATGGCAGATGACAAGGGGGCGGGGCCCGCCGTGGGTGGGGGTGCCTGTGGGGGCATCCCTGAGCGCCTGGCAAGGCGCCTGGACTTTGTCCCGCGGCTGGTGGCGAGCGGCTGAGCCTACGGAAAAGGGCTCTGCTGGGCGGGGCTCGGAGGCGAGCTCCGCACGCGTTTGGCCGCCAGGGGGCGCCGCAGTCCGTAGCCGGCCCCGCCGGGCTGGTCACGGATGCTGACGTCAGCGGGTCCTGCGGAGGCCGCGGGGCACAAAGACAGCTTTGTGGGGCAGCGACGGCTTCGCTCCCGCGGCGGGACAAAGCGGCCTGGGCCGGGGTCGGCGCCGCAGAGGCGGGGAAGGCGGAGGGTGGGAGGGTGGGGCTGGGCACCCGGGACCCCGCCTCCGCACACCTGCCAGTCCCCGCGCGGCCTCAGGGCCCCCGAGTGTTTGGCAAGAGATGAGAGGCTGTGGCCGCCCGATCGGAAGGAGATCAACGCCCCCCAGCCTCCGCTGCCGCCCCAGTACCTCGGGCCTTTCCTGCTACTGCTGCCTCCAGGACTGAGGGCTGAGGGCCGAGGGCCGGCTGACAAGGAGAACAGGATCCCGCGCCCCACCCAGGATCCCTGCCTTCCTTCGGCGGTCAGGCCTGGACCCCGCTGAGCCCCAGATAGCGGGCGGGGCCGGGGCTCCGGGGGCCCTGAAGCCGGCCCAGCAGGAAGCCGCGCCGGAGATGGTTCCTTCCTAACCTCCTGAGGGGAACCCCCGCACAGAGGGAGCATTGAGTGGCCAGCATTGTCTGCCAGACGCACCCAGTGCCTCTCTCCATGGGTGGGCCCTGCAGGATTCTGGCCAGGATCCCCTTGAATCTAGCTTGCAGCGGGTCTGGGTGGGGTCCTGGCAAGCAGCACTTTCTTTCCTGCGTGCTGACAGCTAGGCTCCCACCTGCCTTCAGCCTTCTACCCCTGCTCTGATTTGGAGGGCATAAGGCCCCATTGTCCCAGCACTGGCGGGGGCGGCCTTTCAATTCTTCCTTGTCTTTGGCAGTTGGGAAATTCCCAGCCTTGGGGGGCAGCTGGGGCTAGCGGCGGGTGGGGGTGGTGGCATCCCAGGTGTCCTGCACCCCAAAGGGAGAGACTCCAGATGGTTGACTTCTGGGGATCCCCTTATGCTTAGAGCTTTCCTGGGGCTGAACCTCATCCCTGGGACCACGGAGTGAGGGCAGCTAGAGAGACTCAGTGCTCCCTGGCCCTGTGTACCCTGAAGCACTCCCAGCTTAAGGAGCCCCATCTTTTTGGCCCCAGTCACGGGTAGCTTGCAGCTATGAGGCCTGGGATCCCTAGACAGGCAGAGCCGGGAAAGGGACTCAGGCTCTTGCTTCCAGACTAAGCTTGTGGGTCCCTGTATGAAGTGGGCTGTCGCCAGCCGATGCAGACTTCCATGAGGCTGACCCACCTCTCAGAGGGCCCACCCTACTCCAAATAGTTGCTCAGGCTACTGATGTGGTGCCGGCCTTGGTATTTTTAACCCATCTGCAGGGTGGGGAAACAGCTGGAAAGAAAGACAAGTTCTGAGAGCCAGAGGGCTTAGGAGAGCAGGATCTAGGGAGACCCTGCAGAGAGGAGCCAGGTGGGCAGCCACTCCCCAGCTCGGGCCCAGGTCCTCCATGACAGGTGGGTGGAGGCCAAGATTCCAGGCGCAGAATGGGGAGGGAACCCATGAGATCTGGAACCTGTGACACTGCAGGGGCTGTCAAGGCCTGGAAGAACACCTCACCGTGTTGCTGGGTGGCCCCACTGTTCCTTCTGATGTCAGGAATGCCTGCTCCCCACGCAGCCAGAGCTCCTCAAATCATCCCCCCAACAGACCCCATCCCAGATCCAGAATGCCAGGCCAGCCAGGACGCTGGAGAACACAAGCCCTGACTCCAGCCACCTGGTCTGTGGCATGAGCGACCAGGTCCTAGCTGCCCTGGGATGCAGGGTGTGGGCTGGGATAGGATCGTAGCTTCTCTTGGCTCTCTTCTGGGTTCACGGTCATTCCCGAACAACTGAGCTCAATCTTCCTGTCTATTGGCCTGACAAGAGATCCTGGGGGCCCACATCCCTGTCGTGGGGCTACGCATTCCCCTAAACCCTCCTGGACTCCCAGAGGGAAAGCCAGCCCGCATCACACATTCAAGGAGGGCATCAGGCCAGGTGGGGTATGGTGCAGCTATGTGACAGTGAGTGTGTCCATACTTGTCAGCCACTTGGCTCTTTGGTTAATAATGGTGATGGGCACTAGGGTGGAGGGGGTGGTCAGCACCATGGATCACTTTCTCCTATCTTGGTTTCTCCCCTTGCATGAAATAAGCCCCACAGGTGATCTTATTTAGGAGAAAAATAGGTTTGATATCCTTTCCCATTGACTCTGATTTCCAACCTCGTTGTGGATGGAGAGAGTCAAGGCCTGAGGGGCTGGTGCAGGGTCAAGGAAGGACTTGACCATCAGTTTCCCATCGCACCCCATCCCCAGGACTCAGCATGCCCAGGAGGGTAGAAGGGCTTCCTGTAGGCATTCTCTCTCCTCCCTCCCTGTGCCTGTCCTCTGCTGGGTCCTGTGATGACAGCCATTGGGGGACCCAGAGGCCTGCAGAGAGGCTCGACCCTGGGTATTCTAGGCATCTGGGGCTTCACAGAGGAAGTGACACCGGGAGACCTGAAGACTGAATGGTGAAGAAGAGAGTCTAGCAGGTGGCAAAGAGGAGGGGCTAAAGGGTGGAGGGCACAGCCCAAGCAAAGGCCTGCTGCCCTCTGGAAATTGGGTGCCCAGAGCCCTGGTGGGGTCAGCTAAGGCTGAGTTGGGAGCCCCCAAGCTCCAGCCAGGTCTCTGAGGTGTGTAGCGGGGTACTGCAGAGGGGAGGTTTTGGGAGGAGGAGGGCAGAAAGACCACAGGGGCACAGCCTGGGGGAGAGTGAAGGGGTCAGGTCTCCGTGCTGCTGGGGGAGGAGGCGGGGCCTTGTCTGGCTAACGGGGGGAGGGGGGCCCTAAAGTTTTCCCTAAGATCAGGCCTCAGGGAGAAGGGATGGGCACCTGGGCCCTGCCAGGGCTGGGTTGGAGACCAGGAGGAAGAAGACTGAGGAGTCCCCAGGGGTCAGGGAGGGACGGAGGTTCAGGTGGAGGGTGGCGGCAGTCGTCGTGTTGGGGGCGGGGGTGGGGGACAGGAGTGAAGCTGGGCTGAAAGATGCAGCAGTGAGGGGTCTGCCCGGTGCGGAGATGGCACCAAGAGCGGACACCTGTGTTCCCCCACCCTGCCCCCTGCTGCAACCGCAGGGCAGTTGAGTAAAGAGATCTGAGATTCAGTGTCTCCCTAAGAACACACAGCTGGTGAGGAGCCGTCACGACCCCACCCTACCCTTCCCAGCATACTAAGGGTGCTGATCCCACCCCAGCATCTCGAGCCCCTCAACCTGCACTCCTGGGCAGCTGTCCCCCCCCTTCCCCCCATGCTGATTAAGAGAAGATAGCATTTATGTTAATATATGTTAATAAGCTTGGAGTGCCACCCCGGTCTACATTGGCTGTATTCCTGGCACCTCCCCACTACTCCCCTAGGCTGTGGAGGAGGGGAGAGGGAGGCTCCACCCCCTGCCCTATTCCCCGCCCCCCCCAACCCTGCTGGGCAATGAAGAAAACAGGAGTGAGAGGAGAGCTGTGATGTGGCTGGTGGGGGGGGCTCCCCCATCCCAGAGGGGCTGACCTCAGCCCAGGAGGAATGTGCAGGAGGCGGAGGGCTGGGGCGGAGCGGGTGGGGGCAGGGCCGCAGCCAGAGGCCCAGGGTTCCAGGCGGTCCAGCCCTCGGCCCCTCCACCTCAGCCCTGACATGGCCCTCAGAAGGGAAGGGGAACAGGCAAGGAGGGGAAGAGCTGATCTTTCCAAAAAGGTGGGCCAGGGGTCTCCGGGAGCATGGATTCCAGGCTGGGGGGCGGTGGGGGAAGGGCCCCCACACCATTTCCCAGGAGATCTCCCAGCCCCCCGGGGTGGGTAGTGCCTTGTCAGGGAAGTCAGGCCTCAGGCTTCGCTGGGCTCATTCCTGCCCCTCAGCCCACCCCCACTCAATGCCTAAGTCCTCAGGGTAGTGAGTCCTAGTACCCCACGTGGCCAGAAGTAGGAAAGGTTGTGACGTCGGAGTCACCAGCCTTGATGGCTAAAGCAGGTGTAAGCGTGGAGCCAAGGCCTGACCCAGCCCAGGCTGGGCACTGGGAGGGTTGACGCTGGCCTTCCTCAGATGGATGCCCTACCCCAGCCACACCACCCAGAGTCCAGGCTGAGGGCGGGCCTGGCTGAGGGTGAGGGCCCAGAAGGCAGGTGGTAGGATTTGGCACAACAATTAAGTATTTCCAGAAGGAAAAACCAAGGCCTTGGAGGCTGTGGCACTGACAGGCAGCATCGGGGCGAGAACCCAGGCTGCTTTTGCCCGTGGCAAAATGTAGAGGCCTGGAGTCTGAGGTGGCCTTTGGGTGGGGGGGCTGCAGGTAGGAGTAGGAACCCTAGCTGCCTTTCCTAGTTTGCTCCATTCTGTCAAGACTCAGGCCCAGGCTGCTTGATTCTAGAATCCTTAGGAACTCCCGGAGTGCAGTGTAACCCACTGCTGTTCCTGGAGGGCTGCCTCCATGAAGTCCCCCCCCCCCCCCCCCCCCCCCCGCCGGAGTCTGGCATATACTTGGGCCTGTGGCTGAGGAACAAAGACCCTGGGGGACACCCTGGGTTCCCACCCCTGCAGATCTCCCTTCCTGCCCCAGGGAAGAGGACTCACCTAGGGCAAGGAAAGCAACACAAAGGGCTCCAGTGGGCAAGGGGCAGCCCCAAGATGCTGGAAAGATGGTGGGGGGGGCGGTTCCTGGTCCTGCTTTTCAGTATGGACGTGGAGCTTGGAGGGAATGAAACAGAGACTGGGACCCTGAGCCTGAAGAACTAAAAGCAGTGGGGGCAGGAAGGGGGCACCGTGGGGGTGGATGGGGACCTCAAATGCACTTGCTGATTTTGGCGGCTAGGGTGGAAAATTGTAAACAGCCAAAGAATTTTGTTTGCTTGCGTGGGGCCGGGGGAGGCTGCCCAGGTCCAAGGCAGAAGCTGGGAGGAGGAAAAGGCTGCATCCTGGAAGTCCAAGAGCCCAGGCTGGGGTGCATCCCTCTACTCCCTCTCCTGAAGGCCCCTGGTCCTCCCCCGGAGGCCCTCCCTTCATCTGCCTGCCTGCCAGCCAGCCAGGCCAGGAACACTAGGTCCTGAGACTCAGGAAAGCAGGGCCCGGCCCCACCCGGAACAGACACCGACACCCCTACTCCGGGAGAGCTGGCCAGAGAGGGGCCACAGCCCTTGGAAACCACAGCCTCCCTCACTGACCACTGACAAGCTGCTGACCAGCCTTGGGGGGATTGAGGGGTGAAAGGCCATCCTCAAGCCCTGTCACGTAGACCCGAGGGCCCCATTCAGCCACGGTCAACATTCGGCCCTTCCAGAGTAGACCCCTAGCAGTCCGAATGGGGTCGTCCACCAGACTCAGCTTCAGGCCAAGATCCCAGACCCTTTCCAGCTGAGCCCCTCACTACCCACTTGTAGCTCTCCAGCTGTGTAGGGACCAGTGAGGACCTCAAGTCCCCTGGACCTGCTGTTCTGCCTGCTTCACAGAGCCTTTTGGGGCTGGGGAGGAGGCCCTATATGGTTTCTTCCTCCTTCGCCTTGACTGGCCGCCTGCTTCTGCACTGGACTGCTATTGGGCGTACCCTATTGCCCCGAGGCCTGACAAGGGAGGGGTCGCCCCTCCCTTGTGCCGGCTCCACACTGGCCTGGCCACCAACTCCTGCCTGGTCACCCGATCAGCCCAGTAAACTTGCCTGCGCGTGGGGCGGCGGGCCGGCTGCGTGGAGGCGGGGGCTGCTCCTTAAAGGAGCCGTCGTAGGGTGCCCTACAGTCCCCAGGCTTCTCCCCTCCTCCCGGGCGAGCCGGGGCTGGGGTGGAGAGGCGCTGCTGCCTGAGTTCTGGTGGAGTGTGGGAAGGTGGCCAGGTGTTCTGTGGCGTTGCAGACCTCACGGGCTCAGAAGAGGCAGTGGCAAGTGTCAGTGGAGGGACAGCAGGAGGTGGGAGTCCTAGCCTGGGAGGGGTCTGGGAGCTGCGGAACTGGGCAGGGGCTTGGGGGCAGCAGTCTGGAACGTGGCTCGGCAGTTGTGCCCCTTGCTTGATGGCACCCCAGGACCTTGCCCCATGCCAGGGCTCCTGTGCCCAGCACCTGCCCCGCCAGCTCTGGGAAGGACGATGGGGATTGCAGCCAGAGGCTGGCCCCACAAAAGGGATTCAGGGGAAGGCTCTGGTGCAGAGTTGGAGGGGCTCAAAGATGGGGGAACCTGAGGGAGAAGGCAGGGGAGGGGGAGGTGAGGTGGCAGGGGAGGCTCAGAGAGGGCCGGGCAACTCACCTGAAGTGGGGGTGAGAGGCTGCCTGAGACCCTTGGCTCTCCCCCGACTTGATTCCTCTTGGTCTGAAGTCAGCCCACAGAATTTCTGTGTAACCAGCCCCCTCTAGGCTCAGGTGGGGAGAGAGGGGTCAAGCAGGAAGCCAGGACTGCGATGTCCTACTGGGAATCACCTCCAAGTAGAAGCTGAGGTTTCCCTCCAGACTGGATGGGGGAGCGCAGTCCTCGGGGATCCTGGACAGCCGTCTTCCTGAGGAGTGGCTATCCAGGCGCTCTCAGAGTTGCAGGCAGTTGACTGTCCCTGTGGTTGTATTTACTCACCGGCGTGCCGAGGGACACGCATGCACTTGTGTGTGTACACACAATCATAATGCACACGTACACAACACACATGTATGAGTGTCTGCAAAGTGCACACGCATGCCATCGCAGACATGGACATACACCTGTCTGCACGCACGCACACACACACACAATACAGATACACAAAGGGACCCTCAGAAATACTCAAACTCACGGGCGCCCACACCAGTGGCTCCAGCTCCAGCCCCAAAGGTACCTCTGTTTCTCTGTGAGCCCGTGGGTGCACAACCCCTCCAGAGGCCTGACCCCCTCTTGTTGCTCACTCCCATGACTGGCTTGTTTTGCTCATTGCACTTGGCGCCCTCTGAAATGACTGCACTGATCTGAGTCCTTGTTGGCATTCTGCCCTCTCCTGCATGGGGACCTTGTCTGTGCCCCCCAGTGTCCCAGGCTGGCAAGAAGTAGGCACACAGAGTTTGTGAATTAATGCCTGTGAGCGTGTCTACGGGAAGGGGGGGGTTCTTGGGGGGGGGGACGTGGTGGGGCGGGCTCCTGCCAGTGTGGGGGTGACCCCAAGGGTGTGCCCAGCGTGGGTGTGTCTGTGATTGTGGCCAGGCAGGGCACACTCAGGGAGGGGAGAGCTCGGAAGTGGAATGCGACCCCCCAGCCTCTTTCCCCCAGGGGCTGTAATCTGATCCCTGGGGACTCCCCCCCTCTAGCCTCCCGCCCTCGTCCTTGCTGCAGCTCCTTCTCTTCCAGATCCTGGGGCAGAGTCCAGGGCGGCTCAAGGCTCCTCCGCACGCGCCTGCTGAACCCGGAGCACCCTGAGCCACCAGGATGGGGCAGGCCGGGGCTGCCGCCATGATCCCGGTCCTGGCCCTGCTCTGGGTGGCAGTGCGGGGGGATGCGACCCCCAGCACCCCGCGCCTGCGGCTCTCCTTCCAAGGTAGGTGCACCTGGTGGGCGGGAGGGCTCCGCTCATGGTGGGCGGGAGAGGATCCCAGTGTGGGTAGGGGGCATGCGTTTGCTGTTGCTTTGTGCCACTGGCCCAGGTTTGATTGGGGGCACTCTCAGGCCATCTCCAGTTAACCCTGTCCTGGCCTCAGCCCCCCAACTTTCTATGCACATTCTCTTCTTGCTTTCCCAGGAAGACCCCCTTCCGTTCCCATGGCAACAGATCCTGTCTGGGTCCCATCCACGACCCACCCCCAGGGAAACTGAGGTGTGGGGGGTCACTAGAGCCTCCTTCCCACACCCCCTACACAGGAGGCCGGTCACTGGTCACTAAGCAATGGCATCGCACTGAGCTCAGGCTGGTGGCAGGAAACCCCCATGCTGGGGTTGGGGTTCTGGCTTTCCGGACATGCTCAGCACCCCACCGGCACCCCGGCCTCCCAGTGTGCCTGCCTGCAGACACTGCTTGTCCAAGCCTGCCCGAGGAGCTCAACCTGCTTGCCCCTTGGTTGGGGGGGATGCTGCACTGCCCACCATGGAAGTTTCACACCTGGGTGGGCCTGTCTTCATCAGTGGAAACTCACACATGTGGAAACTCACATGTGTGTGGGCCAGGTCCCATGTACAACCATGACCTGTGAGAGAGACAGGCAGGGTCTAGGGGAAGCTTCCAGCAGGGCTGGCAGATCCTCTGTGGTGTCCGCCCCCTGCAGAGCTCCAGGCCCGGCATGGTCTCCGGACCTTCAGGCTGGAGAGGACCTGCTGCTATGAAGCTTTGCTGGTGGATGAGGAAAGAGGACGCCTGTTTGTGGGCGCTGAGAACCACGTGGCCTCCCTCAGCCTGGACAACATCAGCAAGCGGGCCAAGAAGGTACCAGGGACCCCCAGCCTTGGCACTGCCCAGGGAAGGAGCCCCAGGACCCTACTCCAGACTGCTTGGAGAGGCCCAGGGGGATGGGCCCCTGAGCGGACACTCTCTGCACAAAGACCATGAAAGGGCCCTGACCTGTGTCCCCTTCCCCCGACCTCCTTGTAGCTGGCTTGGCCGGCCCCCGTGGAATGGCGAGAGGAGTGCAACTGGGCAGGGAAAGACATTGGCGTGAGTGCTGGCTTCAGGGTGGGAGCGGGGAGGCCAGCCCCCTGCATTACACACAGTGGCGCCAAGACAGAGGCCTGCCTGTTCTGGTTGTGATGGGGGCAGGGGGTCGAGGTGGCTGAAGTTTGGAGGTAGTGACTCAGGGTGGAGGCTCATGTGATTCTTCTTGGGGGCCTCTGAGTCACAGGGGGACGTATAGGCCTGTGCTTTTCTATGCGCGCCTTCTGGTGAGAGGTGGGCTGGGCTGGTCACCAAGGGCACGTGGGTCACCGCAGCCCATGTTGGTGCTTGCCTGAACTGATGCAGAAGAGAGGAAGGGGTGAGGTGCTACCGGTGAGCTGGGACTCCTTAAGGCTGCCTCTCTGGGGGAGGCCTCATTGTCCCTGACCCTGCCTGCCCACTAGACTGAGTGCATGAATTTTGTGAAGTTGCTGCATGCCTACAACCGCACCCATCTGCTGGCCTGTGGCACGGGGGCCTTCCACCCAACCTGTGCATTCGTGGAGGTGGGCCACTGGCTGGAGGTAAGTCCAGCTCTGGGCAGAGAGGGAGGTTGGGAGGTGAAGAAAGGTCCAGAAGTAACAACCGTCCCCTGCCCCCCCCAGGAGCCCATTCTTCGGCTGGACCTTCGGAGGCTAGAGGACGGCAAGGGCAAGAGTCCATATGACCCGAGGCATCGGGCTGCCTCCGTGCTTGTGGGTGAGTCCAAAGGCTAGGGCCCCTCAGAGACTCTCGACTCTCTTGAGAGCCCCAGAGATTCCCCCACGGCCTCACTGACTCCCAGGCTACTGCCAGAGCTCTCCAAGCACCCCCCACCTCCATCCCCCACCCAGAACCTTCAGATTGGCTGAGCGGCCCTCACCCTGTCTGCAGGAGAAGAACTGTACTCAGGGGTGGCTGCAGACCTCATGGGCCGGGACTTCACCATCTTCCGAAGCCTGGGCCAGCGTCCGAGTCTCCGAACAGAACCACATGACTCCCGCTGGCTCAATGGTGAAAGGCTGGTGGGGTTTTGGGGAGGGGGCCCTCGGCCCCCACAGGGTAGGTGCCAAGGAAGGCCCATAACAGAAGTGAGCAGTGGGTGCAGCCGGGGTCCCACCAGGTAGCTAGCATGGGTCCAGCCTTGTGCCAGGGACTGGGGTTGTAGGGCAGACAAGACATGGGGCCTCTGCCCTCTTTGAGTTCACAGAACTCAGAATGAATACATCATAAGATCAGTTCCAATGGCCATGAGACTGTTCAATGCACAGACAGAACGGGACAAGGAGACCAGGTGGGAGAACGAGAAAGGAAGCCAGTCTACTGGGGAGGGGGCCTGAGCTGATTCCAAACACCCCGCAGGATGGAGGGAAAGAGCAACTAGAGCAAAGAATCCGGCGCAGGAACAAACCAAGGATTAGACGCAGGAGAGGATAAGGGGTCTCCACCATCAGGGGCTAAGTCACTTGCTCTAAGAGTGAGGAGAACGGGGGCCCCTGCCTCCTGTTCAAGAGTAGGATCCGTGAGTGAAGGTACAACTGATTGGCCATCTCCCTCCTTTCCTGGCCGGCTGGCCTGGGGAGCTACCGGGCTGAGGTGGGCTCTCCAGGTAGTCTCGGTCTCTGTTGCCCTCTTGTGGCTGCTTCTTGACTCACAGGCCCTGATCCTCTGGATCCTGTGAACTTGCTGGGCCATCCCAATGAACTTGATCCTAGAGACTGGGTGCTCAGATGCTTCCTGGCAGGCTTCTGGAGGCACCAGAGTTAGGAGTTAGAAGAGAGAGTGTATGGGTCTCCTGAGGGAATGCTGACTTCACACCTCCTGCTGCTAGAGCCCAAGTTTGTTAAGGTCTTCTGGATCCCAGAGAGCGAGAATCCTGATGATGACAAGATTTACTTCTTCTTCCGTGAGTCGGCAGTGGAAGCTGCACCAGCACTGGGGCGCCTGTCCGTGTCCCGTGTTGGCCAGATCTGTCGGGTGAGGAGTCCCTGGGCCACAGCCTGTGACCACACCCCTGCCCTCTTGCCTCTTTGGGGCTCCCCCTCACGCCCTCTGATTGGCTCCGCAGAATGATGTGGGTGGCCAGCGCAGCCTGGTGAACAAGTGGACCACGTTCCTGAAGGCACGGCTGGTGTGCTCCGTGCCTGGTGCAGAGGGTGACACGCACTTTGACCAGCTCCGTGAGTGCCAGGAGTGGAAGGTGGAGTTGGGGAAAGGGAGTGCAGTGCCCTAGACCCGGGAGCCCAGCCACCCTGAGGGCTGTGTGCCCTCCCCCAACTGGGCCCCTTCCCCACAGAGGATGTGTTCCTGCTGTCCTTGAGGGACCGTTGGAGCCCGCTGCTCTATGCCGTCTTCTCCACATCCAGGTGAGGGTCGGAGGTCGTGGGCGGGACTGCCCCGGTTCTGCTGGGCCCCTCACTCTACTCATGCCTTTGCCCACAGCACCGTCTTCCAAGGCTCTGCAGTGTGCGTGTATAGCATGAACGACGTGCGCCGTGCCTTTCTGGGGCCCTTTGCACACAAGGAAGGGCCCCTGCACCAGTGGGTGTCCTATCAGGGCCGTGTTCCCTACCCCCGGCCAGGCATGGTGCGTAGCCCCAGGATTCCCACCACAACCTGCTCGAAGTTTCAGGGGTGGAGAATCTGGTCTGGGATCTTCTTGGTGAATGTGGTTTCTTCCTCTTGTTATGGGTGGATAAACATCAATTTGATCAGACAGGGCTTCTAAAAGCAAGGCCATATTTCCCCCCTAAGACTCCCAAAGGCAGGGCTGGGTCTTCTCTCTTCAGAGTCCCAGGGCAAGCCTCTATCCATTAGCACCCCCACTCCCAGTTCCTGGAGGTCTCTTGTGGGCCCACCAGACCTTCATACCCACATCCCTGTCGTGCCTCCTCCCCACCGCCCAGTGCCCCAGCAAGACCTTTGGCACCTTCAGTTCTACCAAGGACTTCCCTGATGACGTCATTCAGTTTGCCCGGAACCACCCTCTCATGTACAATTCAGTCCTGCCCGTGGGTGGGCGCCCTCTCTTCCTACAAGTGGGTGCCGGATACACCTTCACCCAGATCACTGCAGACCGTGTGGCAGCTGCTGACGGACACTACGACGTCCTCTTCATTGGCACAGGTCAGTGGCCTGCCATGTCCATTCATTAAACCCAGTCTAGACTCTGCCCATTACTGAAGCTGCCCCTGTCCAGGCTCACCTTCGCATCTTTGCCCGGGTTATGCCCCATCTCCTTCTGGATGCTGCTCTTATTCTTCCAACCCACATTCTTCACTGACCCAACCATGCTGAGGGTAAAGTGAGAAGACCTCCTCAGAAGTGAGGAGACCTCCAGCCCTAGCTATCAGGGAATGCAAGGAGTCAGTCACTCACTCCTCATCCTTGCAGATGCTGGCACCGTGCTGAAGGTGATCTCGGTCCCCAAGGGCAGCCGGCCTAACGGGGAGGGGCTGCTCTTGGAGGAGCTGCACGTATTTGAGGTGAGATCTAGCCTCCCCCCATTCCCCCCACCTCAGCCTCTGTGCCCCCCCTGCCTGGAGTAACCCCACCCCACTGATCCCTGATCCCAGTGCTCCCTCTCCCTCTCAGGACTCGGCTGCTATCACCAGCATGCAAATCTCTTCCAAGAGAGTAAGTGACCAGAAGGCTTGGGGGTAAAAGGGACCCAGTGCGTTCCCCGAGTGCCCCAACCCCCATGCCTCCCTTGGTAGTTCGAATCCCGGGTTTGAGAATAGGTTCTGCCTTCGCTAGACTGCGTGACCTGAGACCTCAGTGTTCCCATCTGTCAAGTGGGGTAAGGGATCTCTGACCTGTGGGAGGCGGGCACGGGGCTGCCTTCGGTCACCCCGGAGCCCCTCGTGCCCCCTAGCACCAGCTGTACGTTGCCTCACGGAGCGCAGTGGCCCAGATCCCCTTGCACCGCTGTGCTGCCCATGGCCGTGCCTGCGCCGAATGCTGCCTGGCGCGTGACCCTTACTGCGCCTGGGACGGGGCCGCGTGCACGCGCTTCCAGCCCAGCGCTAAAAGGTGGGCCGGGTCGGGGACGGGCCACCCGGAGTCCTTTGCGGCACCTGGCTGGCTAAAGGAAGAAGAGCTCATGGAAGTTCCACGTGCCCTACTCCCCGCAGGCGGTTTCGGCGGCAAGACGTGAAGAACGGCGACCCCAGTACGCTGTGCTCCGGGGGTGAGTGCCCCAGCTTGCCCCGACTTAGCGGCCTTCGAAGACGCCACAGCCTGCCCTGCCCTGCCTGAATCTGACAATCCCTTGCCCTCCCCAGACTCGTCCCATCCCACATTGCTGGAGCGGAAAGTGTTCGGGGTGGAGGGCGGCAGCGCCTTCCTAGAGTGTGAGCCCCGCTCGCTGCAGGCACGCGTGGAATGGACCTTCCAGCGCGCGGGGGAGGCGGCCCGCACCCAGGTGAGCCTCCCGCTGCCCGGCTCCTCAACTGGCCCTGGCCCCGCCCCTACATCCAGGAGAGGCCCCGCCCTAGCCAATGAGGCCCTCGGCCGGCTCCCACCTGTAGACGAGGTGCGGCCCCGCCCAGTGAGACTCCGCCTAACCGGCCCCTCTGCCTGGTTTGGTCCCTTCCCTGCACGCCGCCCCCCGGTGAGGCCTGGTCCTTTCCCTGCACGCCGCATCCCGGTGAGGCCTCTCACTCCAGACCCAGCCCCCACGCCCCTGTCCGAGAGGAGTCGCGCCCTCTCTCCTCCTGTTGCGCTCCCTGCGCCGCCCCCCATGTCCTGCCCGGTACGGGGATCCCCTCTCAGACCACCGGTCCCAGTGTCCCCAGCCTCCGAACGTGCCCCTGCGAGCGCCTCTATCCTACTCCCGCTCGGCCGCTGGTGACCCTCTGCATCTCCCGGCCGGTCCTGGAGCCGGGTTTCGCTGTTCCCGACCCTGACGCCCCCGCCTCCCGCTGGCCCGGCCTGCAGGTGGCTGCGGAGGAGCGCGCCGAGCGCGTGACGCGGGGGCTGCTGCTGCGCGGGCTGCGGCGCGGGGACTCAGGCGTGTACCTGTGCGCGGCTGTGGAGCAGGGCTTTTCGCAGCCGCTGCGTCGCCTGGCGCTACACGTGCTGAGTGCCGCGCAGGCCGAAAGGCTGGCCCGGACCGAGGAGGCTGCGCCCGTCGCCCCTCCAGGCCCCAAGCTCTGGTACCGGGACTTCCTGCAGCTGGTGGAGCCGGGCGGCGGTGGCGCTAGCTCCCTGCGAATGTGTCGTCTGCAGCCCGAGTCGCGCCCACTGCCTCCCGAATCGCGGAGGAAGGGCCGAAACCGCCGAAGGCACGCCCCCGAGCCGCGCGCAGAGCGGGGGCCCCGCAGCGCCGCGCACTGGTGATTCGGCTTCCGGGCTGGGTACAGGGAAGGCGACTCCAGGCAGGAGCTGGAGGACAGACCCTGGGGGACGCACGGCTACGGGGCCCGGCACACTGGTCCCTGGCCGATGGAGACCAAACGACCGACCGACAGGCCCTGGCCGAGGGGCTGCCTCGCCAGCTTATTTATTAACAGAGGATAACCTTTGAATGTAGCCCTGGGAGGGACGGCCCAGGCCGGGCACGGGGTCCTGCTGGTCGCGAGGAGGCAGAGAAGCGGGCTCCAGAGCAACGACCTGGGCGGAGGAGGTGCCCGGAGTGCCCACCCTCGGGGAAGGCCCTCCTCCCTGGGGGATGAGCAGAAAGCTGTGAACAGGCTGAGAGGGTGGGGGTGGGGGTGGGGCAGGCCGACTGTACTAATGCAATAAACACGTTATCAGCCGAAGCTGGAGCGGCCCCAGCACGCAACCGCTGGTGCTAGGTCTCGCTGTGTGGCCTTGGGCAACTTCTTTGTGGTCTCTAGACCTCAGTTTCTGCTAAGGATGCTGTGGTGAGGATTAAAGATGGTTTCCATGTGACCGAGGGGATTCCGTGGGGCCTTTCCCGGGTCCTAGTGACATACACAGTGTATTCTGAATAATAGAATTTCTTGGCTGAGTGCTATGAAGAAAATGCAATTTGGTGATATGTAAAATAATGTAAGAAAGCATCAATGAGGGGGTGACATTTGAGCTAAACAAGGAGCCAGCTGCGGGAGTATCCAGGGGAGAGCCTTCTTGGAAGGAACAGCCAGGGCAAGAAACAAGGTTGCTGTGCTCGAGGAACATCAAGGCGGCCAGGGATACAGTGAAGTGATGGATTTGGGATGTTTAAGGAGGTAGAGCTCATTGTCTTGCTTTGTCCCAGTTGGGAAGGAGGGCCTCAGGGGTCCAATAGCAGAGTGTGAGCCCTAAGATCGGCCACTTCCTCCCTTCAAGAGTAAGTGGTACCATGCCTCCTCATACACTGTGTGTGACTTGTATACCCTTGGAGAGTAGGAAGGTTCTAAACTGCATGTGCTAAGTGCTTCTGACATGTGGCTGTATTTCCATCCTCCTGTGTCCTGTGCCAGGGAGGAACCATTGTCATTCCTGTTTTAGAGATGAGGAAATGGAGGTCAGAGAGGGGGCAATCCCTTCCCCCAGCTTGTAAGCTTATTAACAGAAATACCAATCTTCAATCTAAGTTTGCCCACTGACCAGCATGAGTACCTGCATGTGTAGGTGTGTCTCTGGGGGCCCTCATGTCCCTGGCTCGTTATCCATCACCCCAGTCCCTGGGGCCAGCAGGTCACACAGGGCTAGGTGCTTGTCCATCGGTTTGGAGTAGAGATGACCCAGCTTTGAGTAGAGGTCTTTGGGGGTAGAGAGGCTCAGGTCTCAGCTGCCCTGAGGGGCGTTGCTGGAGGTGAGCATGAGGCTGCTTGTCTGGGTAAAGACACCAAGGCCTGTACATATACAGGGTGGGGGTGGCAGAGTTCCCCAGGAAAGACCCTGGCACCTGCATTAGTGGAGGTGTGCTTTGGTCTGGGCTCCATCACCAGCAAGATAGTCCCCACTGGGTCACTCCACCCATTCCCAGGGCTGAGGGCTGCCCCCTCTAAATATAGCCCAGTGGGCTGAGCTCAGGCCTATTTTAGGCCCGGGCTGGTAGGCGGCTAGCCTTTCCAGGCTCTGAGGAGCCACTGCTGCCTTCATCCTGTCCTGCTACTGGGTGTTATTATCAGCCCCCCAACTGTCCACTGCCCGCCATGCCTGAGGAGACCCAGGAAGGTAGGAGAGCATTAATGGGGGAGGGCAAGTCCCCTGTCCTGTGACCCTGTGGACTCTGGAGCAGCCCTGCCTCATCCCATTGACCTCACTTCCTTGGCTAGTCATCAGTCACCATGTCCCAGCTTGAGTAAAGGGACCTACCCCCTGTGCATGGAGAGAGGGCTTACCACATCTGGAACCCCACGTCCTCTCCGGCCCTGCCTGTCTCCCCTGCTAAGGACAGGGAGGGATTGGGGGGAGCTACCTGGTCAACTATAGGCTGTGCCCAAGTGGGTGTGGACAGGGCAGACGCCTGGTCAGCTAGGCTCTTCATTCAGGGAGGAAGCTGGGATCCGGGCAGGCTGTTCCAGGAAGCCTTTGGGCATGTGGCCCAGAGACTGGGAGTGGGTAGATCTCCGGCCTCCTCCAGCTTGAGCCTAAAATGGACCTAACTATTGGCTAGGTGGGATCCCTTGGCCTGGCCCAGCTTAGAGCTAGTTAGGCCTTTGGTGGCCACTCGCCTAAGTGCCCCATTGCACCCAAGTACAGAGGTTCAGTGGGGCCGGAACAGGGCTGACCAGCTGACCCACACTTCTCTGGCCCAGCCGGTCAACTCCCTTACCATATTTTCAACATTTCAGCTGGATGGGGGTGGGGTGCCCAGCCCCCAGTAGTGATGGGAGATGTTTGCCTCCTTCTGGGGTCCAAACAACGTTTATCAAGCTTTCTCCTGGGAATGAACAGAATCCGAGTTCAACGTAGGAAGGGTGGGGAAGGGGCACCTGGGTGGCTCAGTCCGTTAAGCACCCAACTCTGGATTTCTGCTCACGTCATGACCTCAGGGTGGCGAGATGAGCCCCCTGTCGGGCTCTGTGCTCAGCAGGGAGTTGGAGCCTGCCTGAGATTCTCTCCCTCTCCTGCCCCTCCCCCTGCTTGTGTACACACACACTCCCTCTCAAATAGGTAAATATTATTTTTAAAAAGTGTGGGGAAAGCAGAGCCAGCTGCAGAGGAATTTACTATGACCCCCAACCCATCACCCAGACGTGACTGGCATCTCTTTTTGCTCTGAGGCATCTCAAGGGCCAATTTCAAGCAAATCATGAAGGCTGAGTTCTTGTTCTGAAAGTGATAGACTGAGAGTCCAATCACCCTTGCCCCTATCAGCAGGCATTCCCTCAATGCCCCCCCTGCTTTGTTATCTAGCGTCCAGCTGGGTATCTGGAGGTTTAAGGAGCCAAGATTATTTAAAAAAAAAAAAAAAAAAGTAAAATATACTTTTTAGAAATCACAAAATATTTTTGATGGGTTTAAAAATCAGTGAAATCACAAGAAAAGTACAGAGACCCCAGTGACTAAGTGGGCAGAGGCTGGAAATGGATAAGGAAAGTATTCCAGGCAAAGAAACCCAATCAAGGGGCGCCTGGGTGGCTCAGTGGGTTAAAGCCTCTGCCTTCGATCAGGTCATGATCTCAGGGTCATGGGATGGAGCCCTGAATCAGGCTCTCTGCTCAGCGGGGAGCCTGCTTCCTCCTCTCTGTTTGCTGTTCTGTCTACTTGTGATCTCTGTCAAATAAATAAATAAAATCTTAAAAAAAAAAAAAAAAAAAACAGGTCAAGGAAGGCCTTTCCTCATCTCCCAGTTTGGGAAACATACGTGTACGCATGTATGTATGTAATTTTTTTTTCAGTGAAAAGGCCTAAAGGTGGTGATATACCTTTCTGGGGGCTATGGACAGCCATTCTAGAGGGCAGTCTGATGGCTTAAAGAAGAAGCCCCTGCTCTTTAAGCCAGTAACTTTGCTTCTAGTAATCTGTCCTTATTAACAATTAGGAAATTGGGAAAAACCTTCATACTTGCTGATGCATGTCCTTTCCTAGGGGTTATTAGCTTCAGAAGGGAACTGGAAACAACCTAAATGCCCAGGCGGCCTCAAAGGGAAGCTGCAGGAGCATGTGGAACAGCTTGATAACAAAGGCAGGTCTCCTGTTACAAGGCTGAGTGAAAACAGCGGGGTTCACAGAAGTACAACTGAATCACAGATCTCAGAGGCCGTTAAAGCAGGCCCTGGGGGACAGGTGGCACCCAGCTAGGAAAGGGGTGCTGTGGGGCATGCAAAGTTGCCAGACACTGGGTCTGGCCTGGTGGCTACCTCACAGGGTCTGCAGGGCAAAGTGATAGCAGAAGCAGGGATGAAATTTCATGCACCGTCAGTTGAGCCCTCCAAGGCTGATAACTCTTTAGAAATGAGCAGGCAGAGGAATGCCTGAAAGTCCTTCCGGTGCTTGCTTGGTGGTGGGGGGGGAGCCAAAGCGAGCAAGTCAGATGTACCTCCTGCTGTCGTGGGTGTTACCAGGCCCAAGGGGCTCCAAGGTCATCCTGGTTCCCAGACAAGGATCATTTCTGAGTCGGTTTTTGGGGCATTTGGAGCCACCCTCCCTTTGTCCTTTCCCGTCTTCTCTGAGTCCCTGCTGCTGCTGGAAGCCACCTCAAAGAAGGCGGGGCGGGGGGGTGGTAGCCTGCGGCTGAATCAGTCCTGCCCTGTCCCAGCAGACACTGTGGCACTGACAGCGAGCCCCAGGAGCAGGGCGCCACTGGCCCCCAGCCACACACAGGACGTGCGGCTGCACAGGGTGGAGTCCATCAGTGACCTGCACAGCGGAGGTGAGGGGGGCAGGGCGGCGGGACTGACGTACTGGGAGAGGGGAGGAGGGCAGGTACACCCCCTACCCTCCTGATGCCCCATCTGCCCCCCAGGTTCGCTGTGCCCCTACCTGGCCGAGGAGGCGCAGCCATGGGACGAGCTGCTGGGCATCTTGCCCCCGTCACTGTGTGCCCAGGCTGGCTGCGGTCCCCTGCAAGGCCGGGGAAGCTTTCTGATGCTGCTGGCACTGCTGGTGCTCACCTGCCTGGCACTCGCCATTCTGGCTGTCTATCTGAGCGGTACGGACAGACAGATGGATGGTATGGGTAGCAAGTGGGGACCGAGGGTGAGGAGCAGGGCCTGGAAGTCACTTCCTTCTGCATGGTTGGAGGGAGCAGCTGCTGAGGCCGAGGCAGCAAAGGGTGGGGAGCTGTGGGGTGGCATGAGGTCTGATGATCCCCTCATTCCCGCCTGTCCCCAGTGCTGCAGAGCGAGTCTCTCCGCGTGTTGGCACACACCCTGCGCACCCAGGAAGAGACGCTCCTCAGGCTCCGGCTGGCCAGCCTCAGCCAGCTGCGCAGGCTCAACTCCAGCGAGGCCCCCGCACCCAGCTGAGACACCACTGGGACTAGGGCTTGGGGATGAGGGGGGGCCAGGGATAAAGTGGCCAAGGCAGGCTTCTCCTGACCCACTATTCTGCACTACTTCCTTGGTGAGGTTTCTGTACCAGAGTCTGACCTGACCACATGCTACCCGCCTCTCCTGTCTTCAGGCCAGGGCTGGCCAGGTTTTCTGGTGCCAAGGCCCTGGTTTGGGTGGCCCAAGGTCAGAGGAAGCAATACCAGCCTCCTGGCTCCTTCTGTGGCCTGTCAGCAGCTTCTGGCTTCCCCCAGACGTAGGTTCAAATCTAGAAATAGCTGCCCCCACCCCAGTTGCCCAAACTCTGCCAGGCCTCCCAGCAGGGATCCAGCCTCAGCGCTCAAGCAGGAGAGCTCTGAGGATGGGGAGGACGGCCACCTGAGGAGACGGTCTCAGAAGGCAAAGATGAGATGGAGATGGTGCAGGGCCCACGGGGGCAGCAGATGGGAGGGAGGCAGAAATAACCAGAGCGAATGGCTGCAGAAGGCTGAGCATTCAGTTTAATTATCTCTAATAATCTTTAAAAATCAGCATATAGATCCATTCCAGGCACCCTCGTGTCCCCACCTGTTTTGGTGCCATTTGGCAGATGCCGTTCCCCTCAAGGACGTGGGTCATCCCAGAGGAGCAGGGCCTGAGGAAGGAGAGCAAGGGACAGCCCTCCTACCATGTGCCCCACAGCTCTGGGATAAGCACACATCTGGCCAGGCCTGGGACAGGGCAGGGAGAGGCCACAGCGCTGTGGGCAGGGGCAAGGGGCCAGGATCCCAATTGCCCTGGCCTCTGGCCACCCCATCCCCATGTCTGTTTTTGGTTTTGTCATTAAAAAAATAAAGCGATGATTCCTGGCAGGGACGAGTTGTTGCAGTGTCTTCTGTTAAAAACACAGGCACGGGTGTGGACAGTCTCTTCTGCCGGCCCCGCCTCAGAGGAGGTCTGCCCGCTTGTCTCGCACGCGGCTGCGTGCCTTGGTCCGTGCTTTGAAGGCAGCAGCGTTGTACAAGTGCTGGAGTGGGGGCAGCGAGCGGGGCTCTGGTGAGCCAGGGAAGGGGAGGCCCAAGCCCTTTCCTCCAGCCCCTGCAGAGTGCGGGGCCTCGAGGCCACGGGAACGTGGGAAAGAGAAGGGTGCCCGAGGGTGCAAACCTTCTCAAAACGTGAGATCTTGCAGGCCTTCAGGGCGGCGGCATCCAGCACCAGCACAGGGCCCAGGCCAAAGATGTCACGGAGGAGCTCGTTGTTCTGGGGGACGAAACGGGCAGTGAGCTGAGGCTGGTCCACAAGAGCCAAGCTGGGCACCCCCTCCCCGTCCGTCCTCCCACCTGGAGGTGGTGGTGCATGCCCGATCCCAGCACGTCCTTGAAGGCAGTGTAGGCACGGCGCCGCGCCCAGCTGTCCACATAGAGCACCTCGAGGCCGAAGCGGATGGACTCTTCCTCACACTCCCCACCCTGCAGCATAGGGGGACCCACAGAACAGGGCTCGGCGGCTGTGTCCAGGGAGCACTCTCACCAGGACACACGCGCTCACACGTACCTCAACGAAGTGCAGCACGGCTCGGAAGGTGGAACGCTGCCGCCGGCGGTCAGCCTTGGCACGGTACTTGTTGCTGTCGGTGGCCAGGGTACGCAGGGCGCTGCAGAGGGCCTCCATGTCCTCGTACAGAAAATCCTCCTGCAGCAGGAGCAACGGAGGGTGTGTGAGCAGAAGCCCAGGCCCTGCACGCTCTCAACATGGGGCTGTTTCTCTCACGGCCGAAGTGGTTTCCTCCTTTGCCTGGCCCCCTTGAATCCCTTCCTGGCCCCTCTCTAGCCAGGGCCAGACACCCCTCTCAGAGCCCCCACCACAGCACCCGGCATCTGAGTCTGTGTTAGGGTGACCTCCCCTCTGTCACGACCTAGGGCTGCCCTAACTTCTGTGATGTCCCCTGCATCCAGCCTAGGTTGGACAGGTGGTGTCAGGAGGCCCCCCTCCCTTCCCTTCCCCCACTCCGCCTCACACCTCAAGGTCCCGGGCAAGCTCAAAGAGTAGTGCGATGGTCTCGCCAGCAGCAATTCGCAGGTTCACACTTTCGCTGGACAAGAGCTGGGGCAACCGGGGCAGCTGCCTGGGAAAGGGGCAGGCTGAGCTATGTGTGGGCTGGGGCCTTGTTGCCTTTCCCCTCCCACTCACAGCAAGCAGTCACTCTTACCTGTCCAGGATGTGGCTGATATGGGCACTGGGGCAGACGCTGAGGAGCAAAGCCCAGGCCTGCAGGGCAGCGCAGAGCAGGCCATGCTGGCTGGCGGGGACCACAGGGACTGTGGAGCCACCCACGGCACAGGACCGGCTGAAAACGCTTTCCAAGCAGTTGAGGCAAGACATCAAGTCCTAGGGACACAGGGAGCCAGTGGGAATGGCTCAGGGGCAGAGCCAGGGCCTAGGTGCTCTATTACCTGTGCCTGGAGGCGACTTACCTGGACATCGGTAGCAGCCACATAGCACCCCAAGCCAAGAGCAGAAGCGCACTGTGGGAAGGGGGGCAAAGCCATGCCACAATCAGAGAGTGAGCCTGGGTTCCTGGCCACAGGGCTCACCCTTAGAGTAGGGGAGCCTGAAGGCAGGTGGAACCCACCTCTCTGCTTGGGGACTAGGGGATGGAAGGGGGTCACTGAGCCTGAAACACTCACGTGGAGCCGGGCAGCAGGGCTGGCTGTGCTGTCACTGAGCACAGACACCAGGAGGGGCTGCAGGCTGTGGAAGAGCTCCTCGCCCTTGGGTCCAGGGCCCAGCTGCACGCAGAGCAGGCCTAGCACAGCAGCGGCCAGCGCCTGCTCCTCGCCCTTCCCTGGAGGAATGCTTTCCGGTCAGCCCATGCAGCGAGGGTCAGCACCCAGCCAGTTCAGGTCTCCCCTGAGCCCCCAGGGCCCAACCTTTCTTGAGGCACTTTTCCAAGGCATCAGCCAGGGTGAGGCGGCGCTCCAGCAAGAAGTCGGGGAGTAGGCGGGATGCGAGGGCCAGGCGAAGGCTCTCAAGAGCACCCTGCCGGGTCTTGGCACTGGGGGACGAAGAGAGGGGACCTTGTGGGCCAGCCCTACTGGGTCACACTTGGCATGGGCTGAGCAGGGACACGGGTGTGGGGGTTGGCCGGCAGTCAGGGATACCTCTTATCTGTGAGGCAGTCCACATACTCCTTCAACTTCTCCTCAAGGTCTTCCTGCTGGCCCTGTTCCTCCGCGGCATCCCCCCCTGCAAGGTCAGCGGGTCAGCCCTATGTCTTGACCCATCCCAGGGAATCCCCACAGAGGCCCTGCCACCTCCCACCCACTCTCACCAAGGCTGTCCTCGGCTGCAGTGCTAAGGAGGCTGGGGCATTCACTGGTGGTGCTGCGGGCCTCACTGACAGCCTCATCCTCACTGGAACCTGAGTCAGCCTGGGTACTGCTCCGGGCACCTGGGAAAGGTTGGACACATTTGTGGCAGCACTTGGCCTGCCTCCATTGATGAGGGACGGCTCGGGGGTACCTCACCCAACCTCATGAGCGCACGAGAATAAAATCCTGCCCCTTTCAGAGATGAGGAAACAGAGACTGTGGCAGGTGGCACTGGGGCTGATTCAGGGGACACTGAGCCAGGAAGGAGGAGAAAGGGAAATGAGGTCCATCAGCTGGAGAACATCAGGCGCGAGGTCCACCCGAGGAAAACCCAGCAGGCTTGGTGAGTAGAGCCTCCTTGAGACTACAGCCTGCTTTATGGAGATTGAGAGCCTGGTAGCGGTAGACACGGCTGCACAGGCCCCACCTAGGCCTGTGGCTGAGCCTGGAGTGGGGTTATTTCTAGGCAAATCCTGGGAGAGCTCAGCTACTCGCCCAGATTATGCCTAAAAATGGCCAGGGCAAAGGTCAGGGGCTTAATTATAGGATCTGTATATATAGAATACATACAGACACAGGGTTCAAATTCCAGCTCCCTATCTTAAAAGGGGTGTAACCAAGTCAAATACCTAGCCTTTACCCCCTCAATTTCTTCATGTGCAAAACAGAGATGCTAAAAGACTCTTTTGGTATAGCAAATGAAGATAATAACTAAACAACTAGTTATGGCTCTTCTGTGGGCCAACATCACCTATCTGCCCTGGGGCAGAAGCCCAGCTCCTAGTGGATGTGGGTGGCTGCCCCAGGCTTCAAGCATACTGTCTTCTGAGATCCCCCCCCCCCCGGACCATCCCAGGCCTTTAGCTTTGGGTGAATGTACACACAGCACCCTCCTGATCCTGGGAAATGCAGAAAGTGGAGTGGCCCCTGACCCCATGAGTCCCTGAAAATAGGTAAACAAAGGAGAATGTCAGGGTCAGCAAAACGTACACTCCTGTGTGTGGGTTCTGCCCAGGGCCAGGGGCTGACTTTGGCAAGGGCAGCTGCTGCAGCAGAGCCCCAGATGGGTTCTGGTCACCAGGCTGGTCCTAATTCTCAGGAACTAAATACTCCATGTGCCTGCTGGACAAAGTTGAGCATGCATCCAGGCCTCTCCTCACCTCCTCTCTTACTACCCTAACCAGCCAAAACAGCCCAGCCTCCCTCATGTGCTCCCTCCAGATGCCAGGGCTTGGTATAACTTTTTCCCTCTGCATAGCGCTCTCTTCTTCACCTTCTTGGGATTCACCCACAAGCCCCTCGAGAATTCCTTGGTTCCTAAGTGTGGAGCTGACACCATTTAATGAACTTATCCCACAGCACCAACCCTTCTGGAATGTCGCTACCCTCTTAGCCCCACACCCGAGTCCTGTTAGGGCTGTGGCCAAGTCTGAGCTGTGCGTAGCAGGCACCCCATTCCTGAAGAGTAAACATATGTGTTTACTGCACCAAAACACACTCCTGTTGGAAGCTGATAAGTCTCAGAGCCGCCTCAGGCTCCAGGGCACTCCCCAACCCTCTCGTGCCAGGCCCACGAAAGCCGTGCCAGGCCCACCAAAGCCGTAATCCTGCAACTTCCCTACAGCCGGCCCCCTCAGTACTCCCCGACAGGCTAGGCCTCCCTCCAATTTCCTAGTCCAGTCCAGGAAAGCACCAGGGAGTGGCGAGGGGGACAGGCTTCCTCCTCTGTTCCGCGGTTTGTCCACCATAGGAAGCAACTGGGGTGCGGCGGCAATGCGGGAAACTGAGGCGGGGAGGCGCCCACCGGTTTAGGGCCGGTAACGCGAGCTCCTGAGCTGCAAGCAGTGCGCTCGAGTTGGACACCCACGTGGCCGCTGCCTCCTGGGGCACGTGCCGACGGCGGGGGAGTTGCGGGACGCAGCGCCAGGTTGGTCGAGGCAGAAGTCTCTGTTCAGGACCCTCCGGGACACCGACGGGAAAGCCACGCAGGACCCCGCTCGCGGCTCACTAGTTGCTCCCCACTTACCCGCTCTGCGGCGCTGGGCGCCCTTGCGGGGCGCGCTGCCCTTACGGGCGCGGGGCATGCCGGGAATCAGGAGCGCGGGCGCGCAGAGGGCGCGGGGTCAGGGACCCGGCGGCTGAGGGCTCCAGACCGGCGAGACGCCGGCCGCTGGGCTAAGCTGAGACTTGGGCAGACGACGGGAGCCACACGCCACACGCGACACCATCTTCGCGAGGCGCCCCGCCCTGCCAAACGGGTCTGAGCGCCCCGCCCTGCTAAACGGGTGGCCGGGAATGCGAGTTCTTGGCCATTGGGTTCAGGCCCACATCCACGCGGCTGAAACTACTAGTCCCAGGGGGCCGTGCGCGCAGATGACGGCCGGCCGGCTGGGCGCAGAGCATCTCGGGAATTGTAGTGTACTCCCGAGACCCAAAAGCCCACGACGCTCTCGCTGAACTATGCACCCACAATGCCCTGCGGACACCCACCCCCTCCTCCCTTGTCCATGTGCTTCCCAGCACAGTCATTAACTCTGAAGCTGCGGCCTTGGAGCTCCCTACCACGGCAGGCAGGACCGGCATTTCTTGGCACTTGAGGCTGGACGTTCGCCACAGGAAGAGCGTGGGACTTGGTAGAACCGAGTAAACAGTCAAACCTTAGGCAGTGAAAGAAAAAGTAACTTTATGATGAAGCAGAGGAAAGACAACAGCTTAGCACTTACAGACCTTAGCCGAGATCTTGGAGCCTACCCGTCCCTGGATGGGTCTCCTATGACCTTTCCATGGACTTGGTGAGGAGTTGGAACAGAGCTCTGGGCTGGCAACCCTAACCATGTGAAACGCTGACTCTCCCTTGGGCTGCTTTCTTATCAGAAGGGATCCAGTGATCTCAGAGGACCTTTGGTTTTGAAATGGTGCAAGCAAAATAATAATAATAAGGTAAAATGTTGTAAACCATTTTTTTCTGGCCCCTTCCACTTCCCAGGGGTCCCATGGGAAGTGGGGGGTGTGTATGGGAGGACTGAGTATAAACTGAATAGAACAAGTGTGGGACAGGGACAAGAGACATATGGCAGCAGGGACAAGAGACACAGGAGCAGATAACTTCTGGCTTTATGCTGCTTCTTCAGGCCTGGGCTCCTGGCAGGTAGGGCCAGCCCAGCCCAGGTAACAACGGCAGCCAAAGGACTCCCAGGGTCCAGGGCCGCCATCTGGCTGCAGGTGTAGAAAGGCTTCCAGCTGTCCTCCATCTTGCCAGGCACAGCGCCCATGGCCATGGCACCGCTGGTGACTGCAGGCTATGGCTGCCCTGGTCACGTTGATTACATAGGGGCCCAGGGTGCCCACTAGGTAATCATGGAGATGCCAGCACTCCTCCTGAAGAGAGGGGAATGATGTGTCAGTGCTCCTGCTCCGTGGCTCTGACATGGTCCTTTCCCCAACCCTGGGACTCTAGCATGGGCTGCATGGCAGGTTGGAGGGACAATGTTCACCTCAGAGCTGGAGAAGCTCAGGTCCCCCCAGAGCACCACGCCGGCTGCCCCAAGTGCTGCGCTCACACCAATGGTCTGCACAAGGTCATCCTGGAGGCAAAGAACAGCTAAGCCAGGGCTGAGCTGGCCGGATCCAACTGGGCCCACTTCCACCTTTGAGAAACTTTTCTGGCTCATCGCCATGATCTGATTTCACATCTAGAGTAAGATTCCTTGGCACTGAGCCTCTAAGTGGCTTCTCAGGTCCTCCACTCAGAAGATGTCTCTCCTCAGACGAGGGCTCCAAAGGCTGGGCTTGCCTTCCCCCTCAAGATATTCCAAGGCAGAGCCAAACTTCCTTTTCAGATGCTCCAGGATGGGACCTCCCAGGAAGAACTAGATCAGAGCCTCCCCATCAAATTCCCCTGGGGCAAGGTCTTCTCTTCAGTCATTCCTAGGACAGGGCCTTGCCTCCCCACTCATGCCTCCCCACTCAGACCCCTAGATCTCAGCTTTTACTCACCCGAGACAGGAACCTCCCAGAGCTCCGGTGTGTGAGGCGGGCATAGGCCAGAACAGGCAGAGGATGTGGGTGTCCAACAGAGGCCACACGGAAGGCCTCCTCCAGGCGGTTTCGGACAAATGCCTGGTGGTAGATGGGTGGCAGCCTGGGTGGGAGGTAGATGCTAGGGAAGAGGGCACTGGAGGCAGCCCAGAGCCAATGAAGTTGGGTGTTGCGGGCGAGGGCAGCTGGGTGGCAGTGTCCTGTGTAATTGGAAGCGATACCATGCCAGCCATTGCTACAGGCTGGGAAGCGGTAGAAACCCCAGAGCCCATGGGGTTGCAGGGCTTGGCCCAGCCGCAGTGTGTCCTCCATCAGGGCACGGGCTGCCTGCTCAAAGCCAGCACGGGCCTCATGGAGCTGCTCCTGGGGGCTCAGGTCGGGGAATACCCGCTGTGCCCAAGCCCACGAGGCTGCCTGATAGGCTCGGCGGTGGCCCCAGTTTCCAGCCCAGAGTGGGCTCCATTCCTCCCAGTCTAGCACTGCCAGGCCAGCGAAGCCACGTCCTAGGCTGCGATGGATCTGGTAGGCAGCCCGTGCCAGGTGGCGGTCAAGAGGGACAACCTGGGGGATGCCCCCATTGTGAGCTGTGCCCCCGGGCCCAAGGTAGGGATAGAGGCCAAGCTGGTTCTTGTAGAAGATGGTGATGTTCTGGCCATGAAAACGCTGGCCATGGTTGGCTGTGATGCCCAGGGCCTCTAGTGGCAGGTGCACGCCAAAGCGCGTCTTACAGTGTGCTGAGGGTATGTTCCACAGCACAGAGAAGGGGCGTTCAGGAGCCCACACCAGGGGCTGGCCAAACCCTAGGCACAGGGCCACTCCGAGCGCTAGGGCCAGGCCCAGCAGCATGATCATGCCCCAGGGATGGAAACCTGCAGGAGAGAGGAGCTGTGAGCTTAGAGTCCGATTCCATGGCCATACCTTCCACACAGCCTGGAAAGCTAGGAACACTCCCCCACCTATTCCCCACAAGGATGAAGGGATGGGGAAAACATGGCCCCCCTGTAGTCCTCTAGCCCCCTCAAACCAGCCACGCCATGCATCGGCCTGGGCAGCTCCCCTCCCATGCTCTCCCTCTTTGTCATGGGACCACTGTGCCCTCTGACACCTTGCCTGCTCACAGTTCTCACCAGTCCCCTTCTGTCCTCTGTCCATCTTGTTCCCTGCCCCAGGAACACGAAACACCCTCCCCCTTGCCTGGCTTGATTCCTACTAAGCACTCAGATCTCTGCTGTGACATTACCTCCTCCGGATTTCCAAATGGACTGAGGGTATTTAGGTTCCCATCGTCCCAACATAGATCCTGCCACTGTATGCCTGTGGCAGGATCAAGGCCCTAACCGTCTAGTTCCCCATTGCCTGGGCCCAGTCTAGGGCCTGACATACAGTAGGTGCTCAGTGAATGGTGATGAGTGACGTGGAAGGGAACAGACACCTTGTCACAGTGGCCTGGCAGAGTGGGAGGAGCAAAGGTTAGGCTTCCCTTCATCCAGGGCACAGGGCCCAGGTGGATCCCAAGGATCTTACAGAGACAGCAATCTAAGATAAGGGTGGGACGGGGGGTGGGTCAACAAATACACTGTCACAGCTGCACCCATCAGAAGCCTTTATTCAGCCACACTGACAGCTCCGAGCCCCAGCTGTGGAGCCTCTCCCAGCCCCACTGGTGCTCAGGAAACAAGCAGCTTCCAGGTTCTAGGGACTGAGCTACGGCCAATGGGCTGAGGCTGGTACTGTCCTAAGCAGTCCATCGACCCTGAAGGACAGTGCTTTCCCGTGGGTAGCCCTCAGATGTCCTTTTCCATCCAGAATATGGGGCATCCTCTCAGGTCTTGGTACTGCGTCTCCAGCAGACTTCGTGGAGGGGGCATTGCAGGAGGTGGGGGTGAGGTGGTCAAGGGCTCAGGCAGGGGAGGGGGTGGTGGCAGTGCCGGCCCCTTGGGGGCTCTTGGGGCAGTCTGGGCAGTTAGACTAGGAGGCTTGCAGGGCAGCCGGGGAGGGGGTGCTCTGGGGAAGGCCTTGAGCAGGGTGGCAGGCAGCCGTCGGCTGGTGAAGACCAGGCCCTGCACAGGCTCACCCAGCTGGTAGCCCAGGTGGGCATAGAACTGCAGCTGGTCATGGGTGGTGAGGTGCAGCCGGCGGAAGCCCCGGGCCTGAGCAAAAACCTCCAGGCCCTCCATAAGACGGCGGCCAAAGCCACGGCCCCTCAGAGCCCGGGCCACCACCACTGTCTCCACCAGGAGGCTCTGGGGCCGGTCCAGCACTCGTGATAAGCGGGCATGACCCACCACAATGGGGAGTGACTCAGGTGTGGGGCGGGGGCTCAGCAGCATCAGGCAGAGGGGGAAGGCATCTGAGGACTGGCCCAGGGAGTGCAGGCGGGAGGCTCGGCTTCGGGGCCACTGCTCATTGATGAGGTCAGCACAGGCATCCAGGAGCTCGGGTCGGCAGTGCACAGGCTCCAGGGTCAGTTCAGCCAGGTTGGGAGCTGGGGTCTCCTCTGGCTGGTGTGCGGGATCCAGGGTCAGCTCAGTGGAGCCAGGACTGAGGGTCATCTCTGGATGGCATGCAGAACCCGGGGTCAGCTCAGCTAGCCTGGGGCTCAGGGTCAGCTCTGGTGTGCAGGATCCTCGGTCAGCGCGGCCAGGTTGGATCTCAGGGTCAACTCTGGCTGGCATGCAGGATCCAGAGTCAGCTCGGCTGGGCTGGTACTCAAGATCAGCTCTATCTAGTGTGCACAGTCTAGGGTAGGGGTCAGCTTTGGGGAGCCAGGGCTCAGAGTGAGCTCTGGCCTACATGTAGGATCTAGGCTCAGCTGAGTCAGGCTGGGAGCCAAGGTCATACCCTGCTGGGTTGCAGGTGGCTCAGTGGAAGGCTAGGGATTAAGAGCACGGTTTCCAGACAGTGGTATTTCCTCGGACCACAAAGGTGCTCCTCTTATGGACAATAGCCACGTTAGCTGTACCAAGAGGGAGGACAGGGTTGGGGCAGGGAGGGGCTGACAGAGTGCTAGGGAACCCAAGCATCCTGCAACTACTAAACTATACCTTGTCCCTATACTCACCTGATGACACAGGTGACCTGGAGACCATCCCCTATACCTGACTCAGGTGGACAGCAGAGGAAACAGATCCAGTGTGTCCTGCCCCACACTGGAGGAAGGCTAAAGGCTAAGGCTGGGGCAGCACCCAAAAGTCCTGGCTCCAGCCTGTTGTGGCTACAACTTTGTCCTCCCCAGGACAGTGGATTAGTCCTACCACCATGGCTGGCTGGCCATCAGACAGAACATGCAAACTAGACACCAAGACCCCCTACTTTAGACCATTCAGAATTCTCTGTGGAGGAAACACAGCTAACCCCAGGAGCTCTCTGTCCCTTCCTTTTCCCTACATTCTTGATCCCAGCCTTTTTGGCTGCTTGGGCCATGCCTGCCACCTGAGCAATCCTGGGGCACGACTCACCCATTAGGATCGGATTTCCTTCCCTGAACTGCCTTCCCTGCCTGCAGCACAGAGTCCACTGCCCCCTCCCCGACATTGTGCAGCTCAGGACACTTTGCTTGGGCAAAGACGCAAGTGTCCCTTCAGATGGGGCCCCAACAACACTGGCAAGGGGCCTGGCTCACAGTCCCACAGCAATGTGGCTCTTGCAGGCTTGGTTCCCCCCTGGCCTGAGTTTCGTAGTCACCCTAGATAAGGACCACAGCTTCCTTCCTAAATCCACAAGGGTGTCCAACGGCCACCAGGTTGGGGGCTCAAACCTCCTGCGCCTAAATCCCATTGTTTGCCTAAATCCCATTGTTTGCCCATCCGACCCCAGGCCCTGCTGCCAGGAGGGTCTATGCTGGGGGATTTCTGGCGGTGGGGTATCCGCTAGGCCGCACGCTTTTACTCACCTGCTCCAGAGAGGACGTCCTGGCTCCCCTTCCCCACCTTCCCAAGAAGGTCCCCTGAGCTTGAGGCCAATTCCACACTGGTCATGCCCAGGTCGGAGCCCCCACCCCCACACACTATATCACACAGAGGGCTATAAGCCCCTCACCTGCATCAGCTACCTCCTCAGCAGCCGCAGCCCCGGACCTAGAGGGAGGAAGCCCCAGGACCCGCCCGCAGGCTTGGAACCCCAGACGTCCCCGCGGGCTTAACCCTTTCAGTGCCGACCCCACCTACTGTGGGCGGGGCTCCTGTATTCTCAGGGAGAGGCGGCAAGGCTGTCCTGTGGCTGTTTCCCCCTCCCTCCTAGTGGGTGACAAACCGTGGAGCTTTTTGGGGGGGAGTTGCTTCGGGAGTTGGACTCTGGGTGGGTGTGGCTCGGCATGCTCTGGGAGGGAACGACAGACGCAGGGAAGGCGTGCGGGGCGGCAAAGCCACTTGAGGACCGCACGCGTGGGGCGGACGGGAGACACTGAGGACGAACACGCTGCGCGTGGCAAGAGGGAGGTACTGACATGTTGAAGGCAAGATCTGGGATGCTCCGCGTCCTCGCTCCGCGCTGGCCGGTTTCTCGCTCTGTGGTTTGGATTCTTCCGACCGTCCGCGCTGGCCCCTAGTGGTGCGGCGGACGCACTGCAGCCGTCGCGGCCCGCAGCGCCCCACCTGGTCCGGATTTTCCTTGGGCCGCCAGACCCCACCCCGCCTCCGCGCGTCATCGCTTAGGCTCCGCCCCCGGTTCAGCGCGTCATAACACGGGGCCGACGCAGGTCGGGTCTTTGCCCTGGCTCCGCCTCTGTCTCTCCTGCGGTCGCCAATCCACAGCTCCCGGCTCTGTGCTCAGCAACGCTGTGACCCAGCGCAGGCTCCACCTCCTCCTCGACGTGCCCTGCCCAATGCAGAGCAAGTCTCTGGCTCCTGGGCACCGCTTAGGTCCTCCCGGATTCCGTTCGGCCGATGCCCTGCCCGGATCCATCTAGTCAAAGCCTTGGCCGGGTGGGCCCGTCCTCCACCTGGCTCTACTTCCGCCTCGCCTCGTCTTGTCCCACCCTAGGCTCAGGCGGGTCTCGGACCCCGTTGGCCTCCAGGGGTAAAGGGGTCCTGTGTAGAAACGGAGCTTCCTCCTGAAATTTGGGTCCCATCCTCGGAAGCAGCCGTCCTTGGACAGACATCAGGACAGAGTGAGAGAGACGAGCCTTTCCTGTGCTCTCTGCATCCCAGCGCGTGTACGTTTTAGGCACTTAATAGCTCTTGAAGCAAGAATCATGTCTGCTTTATTTGCGAGGCTGGTACCTGTGAACAGGTTCAGGTTGCGTGCAGGGCTGGTTACTGTCAACACACAGGAGGAGCCAAAGGGCTTTACCTCTATGGCTAGACAGCCTGGGTTCCACCTAAGCTTCTCTATTTTTCTGGCTGTGCAGCCTTGGGCAAAGTGCTTACCCTTTCAGTGTGTGCCTGTTTCCTCACAACGTCATGTTAAGATTGAATGAGTTAGTCCACTTAAAATGCTTAACACAGGACTTGGGGAGGAGTAGGTCCCCAGTGAATGTCAGTTTGCTACACTGTCATGATTTGCTACAATGTCATGAGTGCTACAGCTTAAAGACTGGGCTCAGTGTCTCTGGAGATGTTTATGACCCTGCTGGGTGGGTGCTGGAGGCTCGAACCCTTTCAGCTATCCTGGCCTGTAGACGTGTGCAGGTGCAGGCATGTGGTGTTGATGGTCTCTGAGAGTACTCCTGACTGTGACCATGGCTTGTGTGATAGCTTGTACTTCAGAAAGCTGTGGTCACGCTCAGACTGCATTAGGCTGTGAAATCAAATAAAGAAAACATTTAAAATGGAGTCGAGGGACGCCTGGGTGGCTCAGTCGGTTAAGTGTCTGCCTTCGGCTCAGGTCATGATCCCAGAGTCCTGTGATCGAGTCCTGAACTGGGCTCCTTGCTCAGCGGGGACCCTGCTTCTCCCTCTCCCTTTGCTGCTCTCCTTGCTTGTGTGCTTGCTCTTTCTCTCCTTCTGCCAAATAAGTTAATTAAAAATAAAATAAAGTGGAGTTGAGAGGCTAGAAGGGGGAACTCAGACATATCACTCCTTGCAGCCCTTTGCAGACCCAACAGGAAGGAGCCTACTTTACTCCTGCAATGGGAGGAAAGGTTTTCTCATCGCCTGACAACAGCCCAGCCAACAAGAGCCTCATAACTCAATGAAAAGCCATCGCCACCACCCTTCAAACTCCCAGTTTACTCCAATGGATTTTCTGTTTGTAACAGGCCCTTCCAACTACCCCCTTTCCTCTATAAAATAGCATTCCTCCTCTTTGTTCTCCAGACTTGCCCATGGTTTTGCAACAGGTCGCATGTCCCAAATGGCACTACTTTCCTGTTCCCAAATAAACCCATTTTTGCTGGTAAAATAACTAATTTATTTTTAAGGTAAACAGGGGGCTCCATGTGTGTATCCTGGTGTATGACCAGTCACTACGTGCCCTGCTGCTCACACCATGCTCCCTTCCAGCCACGGTAGCAGCGACATTGGAACTCCACAGCCATCCGCATCCGATCCTCAAGTGAGAGGGCACCTTGTAGGGTCAGGGGCCGGCCACCACTAGCGAGCTGGATGGAGAAACTGGTGGGGTTGAGGATGAGGAGGGCCTCAGGGTGGCTGGGGCGCCGGGCACAGCGGCCATGGCCTGAGCACAGGGCTTGACTGCACAGAAGAGCCCCACTGGTCACGTTGAGGATGAAGGGCCCCAGTGTGGTGTCCATGTACTCCTTGATGGCCTGGCAGGATTCCTGAGTGGGAGGAAGAGCATCAGGGGCACACAACGATAGTGCATGGGCCTACCTAGGGCATTGAGGCCCCCAGCCTGCTGTCCCAGCCAGGACTGCAGGGATAGAAAGGGCAGGCCAGGGTCTTCCCAATCAGCCTGGCAGCTCCACCCCTGCCTCCATCCTAACCCCCCATCCTGGGCTCACTGAGCTTACCTTGGATTTTGTGTTCTCCCAGCTCACCCAGAGCACCACTCCTGCTGCTCCCTGGGCTGCACTTTCCCCCAGGCTGTGCTCCAGCTCATCCTGGGGAAAGGGACAGCACAGCTCTGAGATGCTTTCCTCCTCCCCACCCCCCACAGCAGACTGCTGTAACACCACTGGATGGAACAAATAACTCATAACCCCCACCGGGGGCCACCCTGGTCTCCCATGGCAAGAGGCAAGCCTGCCACTGTAGCCTGTGAGTGCCATGCAGCAGGCGCTCCATCTTTGTGATGAAGGCTGAAACATTGCCGAGCACAGAGCTTGACACCCAGTAGCAACTCAAGGAATGGAGCATAATGGACAAAAGTGCCCCAAGGCTGTGTGGCCTCCCTTACTGGATCTAATGCCTGACAAGTTAGGCTACAAGGTGGGTGGGGTCATAGGAGACTCACCAGGGGCAGAAAGCGGTTCGTCCAGTCATAGAAGATCTGAGCATAGGGCAGCACCGGCAGACTGGGGTCCCCAACACCCATAGCCATACGGAATGCCTCACCTATGCGATGCCGCACATACATCTGTCCCTTCCCCGTGCCCTCCAGCTCTGCGGGCATGTAGATGCTGGGATAGAGGGCACGGCTCTGGCTCCACAGCCACCCCAGCTGGTCATTCTGGGCACTGACCCCCGGTGGGCACTGGCCAGTATAGTTGGGGCTTAGAAAGTCATAGTTATAGCAGTCAGGGAAGCCATAGAAACCCCAGAGGCCACGAGGCCTCAGTGCTTGCCCTAGCCTGAGGGTGCCCGCCATCCAGGCCTGTGCAGCCTCCTGGAACTGGTTCCGTGCTGCTGCCTCCACCTCAGGAGCTGGCCAGTCGGGGTGCTGCTCCCGGACCAGTGCCCGGGAGCGCTGCCGGTAAATGTCCTTGGTGTCCCAGTTGAAGGCCCAGCGTGGGCGCCACGCCTCCCAGTCGATGACCGCCAGCCCTGAAAAGTCGGATGCAGGGATGGCAGCCAGGATGTCCTGGAAGGAGCGGGCCAGGTGGGTCTCAAGGCTGGCATTCTGGGGCAGGCCGCCAAACACAGGCTCCCCGGAAGACGTGTAGTAGGGGTAGGTGCCCAGCTGGTAGCTGTAGAAAATGGTCATGTCAGGGCCGCGGAAGGTCTGCCCCGGGTTGGCCACCACATCGAAGACACTGACATCCACGTCCACGCCGTACTTCTCCAGGCACCACTGCGTGTTTGCGTTCCAGATGGTGGTGAAGGGCTGGTTGGGTACCATGGGGCTCCTGGAGCCTTTAGCCGTGCTGAGCAAGCTCAGGAAGAGGGCGTAGGTGGGAAGCAGGTGGACTGCCATGGCAGAGGATGGGTCTAGGGAAACCTGGTCAGGGGAGGCAAAGCTGAAAGCAGGTTCTGAACTCTCTTACCCCTGCTTAGAGAAGGCAGGCCAAGCCCCTTGCTTATTAATACATCCCTGCTCCACTTTGGGTAAACATTGACCTTGGCTCAGGGCTCAGGGAGGTCAGAGGGCAAAGGAAAGGCATGCAGGGGGAGCGCTGCCACTGGACGGGCACACAGAGTTGCCTCGAGGGTGGGGCCTCTGCCTTCTTGTCTCTCATGGGCTTTGCCTTGGCCTACGCTAACCAATCCCCTTCCCCAAGAGCCACAGAAGCCATGAGTTCTGTTTTGAGAAGAGCGGCTGAGAGACAGGCCCTCAGTCCCCAGGCTGACCTGACTGATTGGGGGGGGGATCCTTTCCTGTCTCTTCCCCTAGGAATCCTGGCCAGCCATTGGAAGAAGAGATGCTCAGCCACCAAGGACAGGTCAGCCCAACCCTCCTGTATACCCACCAGTCTGCCCACCTGTCCCTGCTGACCTCAGGGCTGAAGGGCCTCATCCTCCAAATTTCCTGACCCCAGCGGGAGGGCCTGGGCAGGGCTCAGCAAGATTCTGTTCCTCAACTCTGGCTCCAGCTGCACCAGACTCAGAGGAAGCTGCTGCTGGAAACTCTGAGCTTTTGTAGGGGGGGGTCACGCCACCCAGTCTGGGGGCGGGCTGAGGGGCAGGCTGTGGGTTGGAAGGCTGAGCCCCGCAGAGGGCTGCCTTGGCGCCCCTAACAGAGTGCCTTGGTGGGAGGTGGGGCTGGGCCGGAAGCAGCCCCGCCCACAAGGTCAACACCAGGCCAGCTTTGTGGCTTTCTTTGGATTGGGGTGGGGGTGGAAACTTGGGTGGCAGACCCCACTGGGCAGGTCTGTGTGTGGTAGCAGAGTCTGGGAGTCTCGGTACTGTATCCTGAGGGAGCACACTTTTCTGCATGGCTGCCTTATGCCATCTGTGGGCCCCGGGCACTTTTGCCTTTGTGGGCCCCTTCCTCAAAACATTAAAAAATGAGAGGCATCTGGGTGGCTCAGTGGGTTGGGGCCTCTGCCTTCAGCTCAGGTCGTGATCCAGGGGTCCTGGGATGGAGCCCAGCACCAGGCTCTCTGCTCAGTGGGGAGCCTGCTTCCCTTCCTCTCTCTCTGCCTGCCTCTCTGTGTACTTGTGATCTGTCCAATAAATAAAATCTTTAAAAAAAAACATTAAAAAATGCATTTTAAACTGTGCTGGTACAAGGACAGGTACCATCCAGACTGAAGTCATTATTATATGTTCATTATGAGTATATATTTTCCTCTGCTTAAAAAAGTGAAGACATTTCTTGGGCCCCTGGAAGTATTGCAGCCCCAGACCCTACACCTGCTTGCCCTAGGTGGGGGGGTGACTAACTCCCCTCTGCTTTAGGGACAAGTCTGAAAGGCACTGTCTATGACGTTGGGGCCGATCAGCGAATGTGTCTTTGTGAAGCCCTGGTCAGCTACGGCCCAGGCCTCTGTGCAAGGCCCAGTAGTGTGTGCGTGTGCAAGTGCGGACCCAGTACCTAAACTGGGTATGAGAGTCCACGGTCTCATGACTGAGACCCCCTGTTTGGGTGAGCCTGGGTAGGTCAGTGACCACATGCTTGTTCATTCGTGATTTCACTTGTTTGCTGATTCAGAAACTGATTACTGAGACTTGCTAGGTGCACAGGCCCAGGCTCAGGCACGCCTGCCAGGGTGTGGTGAGGGGAGGCTCATGGACCTGGTCTGGGCGAGAGTGCTGCCTGAGTCTAGGGCCCAGTCTGAGCCTGAGCTAGGGATACCCCTCCCCCCCAGCACAGTGGCCAGTGAGTCAGTGATAGCCGGCTACCATCTGCACTTCATCCCCCAGGCTAGGATGGAGAAGTTGACAGCACCAGAGGAGGACCCCAGCACAGGATCTCACTACAGAGGTGGTGGCTGCTGTTTTATTCAGGAATCAGGGCCACAGAGTGATGACTATTAGGCGCAGAGAGCCTGGCGCAACTCTTGAGGGGACAGGAGAGCATCAAGGCAGCCCCGATTCCCTCTCCCTGAGGGTTCACAGTACCTTCAGGTGCCCCCAGAAACCTAGTGCCGCAATTGGCACAACCCAGCCAACTGTCAGGCCAGCATCCTCCAGCAGCCTCGTTCGAAGGGAGACGCTCCAATGGCGTAACGGCAGGAAGATGCTCCCCCTAGAGCCCTGCAGACAGAACTACCCCTGCTGCGCTCCGCTGGCCAGATTGGCCAAAGTGCCGTGTGTGTCTGGGGTCCATCCGGCTTCGTGGTCCAGCCCTGCCTGCTCTCTGGTGACGTGCACACCCCAGGTCTGAGCCACCTTACTCTGCTTTACCCTGACCCACCCACAGCTGTGGCTGTCCCGAGTTGCACCTTCCACAAGGCTGTGTTCCAAGTCCTCCTGGAAAGGGATGTGAGGTGATCACAGGTTTGCCCGGAGGGGTCCCAGCCAGATGAGTACAGGTCACAGGTGTTTGGGGGAGGTAACAGGCATGTAAAGTCACACATGTAGGGAAACCACAGCTTTGCTATGTAGTCCTGGCTAGGTGGGGAAGGCCATGGATGCTGGGTGTTACAGATGTGGGTGGGGTAGCTCACTGGTGTGTTTGAGGGTCACAGCTGGGTAGGGGAAGTCAGAGGTGTGAGGGCAACGAGGGCAGTAAGTCACAGCTTCTTCCTTGCCCTCTTTTTGCTGGCTCCATCATCTCATGACCTTATAGACCAACACCTTCATCTTCTGTCCAGCAGACTTCTCCCTACCATGGCCATGAGAGCTGGGCATCCTTCCTTCCACCTCAGCCTTCTCCCCCCACCGCATGAACTGATGTTGCCTTCCCCGTGCTACTGCTTAGCCCCCTTCTCTCCATTCTCTGCTGTCGCTCGGCTGTTGTCAGCCAGAGGGAGGAGGATCACTTTACAACCTGAGCTGACATCAGCGTGGTGGGGCTTGCTGCTCTGGGCTCTGCTCTGCTGACTGCCTCTGACTTGGCCTCTGCATCTGGTGTGCTTCAGGAGGACAGGGCCCTTTGCTGGTGTTGCTCACGGACGCAGCCCAGCCCAGCCCAGCCCAGGTACATGTGTATGCTGTTTGCTGAACAGGTGAGACGGTCACTGCCGTCAGGCAAAGTCAGGCGTGGTGGCGCTCAAAGGTGGCCCTTCCTGCCCTTCCTGCAGTTAACACCCTGGCCACACCACAGCCCAGGACTGAGGCTGAGTCAGGCTGTGTTCAGTCCCAGCTGTGTTCCGACTTCCTCCAGCCTTTGCCTGCATTTTGTCTCAAGCTTCCCCTTCCCCTTTTAAAACTCACTGTAGAAGGCACTTCCGTGAGGATACCTCCCTTGAGTCTTTGTGGCTGGGCTGCCCCCCTTTACCACTTGGCTGTTTCTTGAGTCTGTCTTCCCACAGCCAGTGTTTGCTGAGGGCAGGGCCTGCATCATCACTGACACGGACAAGGGGACCCCAAGTGCGGGTCTGATGGCTGAGGACAGGGGCAGAGCCCCTTCTGAAGCAGGGAAATGAAGCAGGCCGGAGCTGGTCTGATGACTCCAGATGCTACTTCTCTCCCCTGGGAAAGCTAGGGACAAGCCACATTCTCCCAGGGCCAGGAAGGGGCTGACCTTTGAGGAGGTGGGAAAGCTAGGGACAAGCCACATTCTCCCAGGGCCAGGAAGGGGCTGACCTTTGAGGAGGTCTCTGTTCCCAGACTCAAGATGTCTCCTTCTTGCCCCAACATAAATCTTTGCAGTGGGTCAGGGACAAGACTTCAGGATTCAGGTCCCAAACCCCAGTGGAGACCTGTGACCCAGCTGGAGAGAGGTATGTGGGGCTGGAGTCCACTGCCCTTGGGAGCAGGGAGTGGAGGAGACGCCCTTGCCTATGGGAACAGCAAGGAGGGGTAGTCTGCCCAGCTAGGGAAGATCAAATATCCACTTCCCCGTTCTCCCTGGGTGGGCAAGGCGAGGTGAGTGGCACTGGGCCAGCTGGGACCCAGGGGCAAGGAGCAGAAACACAATGAGCCTGGTCCCTCACAGAAGGCTGGGCCCAACCACTTTCCAATCAATACAGAGAAAGCAAGACCCTGGGTGTTGGGATGGAATGTGAATTCCTCCATTCCCGGTGGCCCCAGCCTCAGCAGGCAGCTGCAGAATGGGCAGCTCTGGGCCTCCAGGTTCCACGGAGCGCATTTGACAGACAGGAAGTCCCCAGCACCGGGTCTCATAGAGACAGAGCTACGCTCAAACCTGAGAGACATTGGGATCTCCGTCACGTGTCCTGCCTAGGTGCACACAGTCTAAGCACAAAAGCAGTTGTTTTGTATTTAATTTACAAAAGAGACCCCAAAATAATAATAATAAACTATCCAAGGGCAGGAGAGTAGGGTCAGGTCCTCTCTGGCCCAGCTGTGCCCCTCTTCCTCTCTGGCAGGGAGAGAAGGGGCCTCTCAGGGAATTGCCCCTCCCCCTTAGAACAGGGGGTGAGAGCTGGTATGGACGCCCTGCTGGGCATCCCCAGGGATCTGCCCCCTTGGGGCTCCAGTCTGTCCACCTCTTGCAGGCTCCTACGTGCCCGGCAGAGCCCTTGTGGCAGAGGCCAGCTTGCCCGGCGGCCAGGTGAAAGATTCCTATAAAGTCCAAGTCAGGGCCAGGGCTGCCACAGCCAGCGAGCCGGTGAGGTGGGACCCAGCCCCGGCCCCATGGGCACCCCCAGTTGCCCGTGTTCGGTCCCACTGGCATTGCTCGCCACCCCAGCCCAAGTAGCACTGGCAGCGAAAGTGCGTCTGCAGGTAGTTGAGATCAGCCCAGCTGAGCTCCCCCTCCGGCCGCAGCTGGGGCTCACCCGGGACGTGGCTTGGCACCAGGCGGAAGCTGCTGGCACTGAGGTGCAGGAAGGTACTGGCGCTGGGGTCACGGCGTACACAGCGCCCGTGGCCGTGGCACTGGGCCCAGCTGCAATACTGGGCAGCCCAGGACACGTTGACTACGTAGGGGACCAGCAGCCGTGTCAGGTAATCCTTGAGGTACTGGCAGGTCTCCTGGAGGCAGAGGCCGGGGATCAGGTCAGCGGCCTCAACCCATAGGCCCAGATAGAAACTCTGTGTTCATCCTGCAGTGTCTGTACATTCTTGTAACAGCATGCACATGTGTTCACATACGTGCATGCTCCAGCCCTGGCCGCCCGTTTCCACTGAGAAAGGAGGTGGCTAAAGAGGTGAGCCCAGGGCATGGGGGTAGGGTGAGGGGGAAGGGTGGACCTCTGAGGCTGTTCAGGACAGCATGACCCTTTTCCTGGGAATAGGGAAGGGACCCTTTCTTTGTTGGGACCAGAGACGCCTTGGGAGGGAGACAGACAAAGGGCCCCATCTAGGTTGGTTTGCCCACCTTGAGGTAGGCAGCCGAAAGCTGCAACTCTGCCTGTCCCCTACTCCCGCAGACTCCGCTCTGGTAGGCTGGGGTGGAGGGGGGTCTTACTCACCGTGCTGGTGGTGTAGCCTGCATCCCCCCAGAGGATGACCCCGGCCGCGCCCAGGGCTGCACTCTCACCAATGGTGGAGATGAGATCCATCTGTGTGGGAGGAGGACGGTCACTGGGGAAGACTGAGACCACAGGGTGAGGACCAGACAGGCTGGACAGGCCCCCACCCTGTTCTGACTTTCTGGTCCCCTCAGCCCCGTACCCCTTCCCACCCTCAGGCAGAGGCTGTTTCCCTTTCTCATTAGATGTGCAAGCCATTTGCACTCCTACTCTGGCTTCCATTTCCCAAGCCAATGGCCCACTCAAATCTAGGATGTATCTATCAGGATGAACTCCAAAGTCAGGGTGCCTAGTCCTGAGTCCCTGCTCTGCCCTGGATGTGCTGGGAAGCTTTGGGCAAATTTCTCAGCATCTCGACCTGAATTTTCTCATCTGCAAAATGGAGCTAATGATGCCATCCTTTCACAAGGTCACAGAGAGAATGACGGGAGAGGATGGAGAGCAGCTAGTCAGCTGGAGGGC